GAATTACGTCATCATATTCTAAGAGAATACTGTGCAGCCTAAGGTAAACAAAAAAAAGTCTTAAAAACATATTACGAAAACGCATACTTCAAAATTTAGGAGACGACAAAGATTGACACCTATGTAATATTCAGAGCCGTTCACATGAAAAAGAATACACTAGAACCTAGAATATTTGAGGTAACCACCTCGTATGAACGAAAACTCGATTACTACGGACTATGCTTTAAATTATACCAATTTTTTTTTTCCGACGATGGTTCATATAAAATCCTAAAGTATACATGGTGTACCGGAATTACGTCATCATATTCTAAGAGAATACTGTGCAGCCTAAGGTAAACAAAAAAAAGTCTTAAAAACATATTACGAAAACGCATACTTCAAAATTTAGGAGACGACAAAGATTGACACCTATGTAATATTCAGAGCCGTTCACATGAAAAAGAATACACTAGAACCTAGAATATTTGAGGTAACCACCTCGTATGAACGAAAACTCGATTACTACGGACTATGCTTTAAATTATACCAATTTTTTTTTCCGACGATGGTTCTGGAACTATTTATTTGAAATTCTAAAATAAGTGTGTGTGTGATTATGTCAAAGCCTCGAGGGCTATCTGCCTAAGAGGAGGGATGCCTTCGTGGAGGACTTTCTAAGGGAAACTGACTCGTATATACGTTACACATGGGGAAAACCACGAAAACGCCCATGCAGCCAGCCCGTTCGCGGGATTCGAACCTCGGACCGAACTACCAGTGTTCAGCGACTTTACCGCTCGGCCGCTGGTGGGCCTCTAAAATAAGTGCAAAAGTACTGCAATTAACCCTTTTAACAAACTCTTTTGTTAGTAAATAAAGCTTATTTCCTTCAGTTAAACAGATAATACGCATAAGGTTTATTTTGTGTAAAATGTATTCGTAAAAAAAACAGGCTTAAACAAACTGCGTCAAAATTTACGTAACCTTGAGAAATTATGTCACATGAAGCCTTTTTATGGGAAAATTTTTTTCTGCCTCCTTTATTTATTTTATTTTATTTATTTTTCGATAATCTCTATCAGCTGTGGCACATTTCTATTAACAAAAGATCGATAGCAAAAGCATCAGGACGTTGCACTAAAAATTAAAAGTCGAATCATTTGTAATTTGGGATCTGCTTGTATACTGGTTTGAACAGAGAATGCTTGTGCTCATGGATATATTTCTGAAGTAAGGCTGTAAGATATAGTATTCTTTGCTAGGATAAAACTATAATATGAATACAACGGGAAAAGTGTACAAAAAACCCTTTTATTGAGCTCATTTATTTACAGACAGCATAGTCTTTGTGCTTACAAATCCACCATCCACTCGTGACGACAAAACTAAAGGTAATGATAAACTAAACTAAATTTAATGGTAAGCTAGGAGTTCAAGACTACAAAAAATTATTTAACCTAGCAGGTTGACGCAGAAACCTACACCGGTTGTAATATTAAACTTCGGCAAGACAGCGAAGCCAAGATTCAAAATTCAAACAGCTGGTAGAAACGACAATCGGCACGCACTCAAAAGCGAAACGCGCTCTGACTAACCCTTTCGATATTTCAGTTTGTACACTCTCGTTCACCCTAACTCATTTACATACTGGTGAGGAAACGCGAGAGAAACAAGAAATGACAAGGCTAACAAATTAAAGTAGTTATTAATAATAGTAATATACACCTCACAAGGTGCAAATGCAAAGATACACGAGGTGCAAATGCAAAGAAGATACGATTTGATAGTAAGGAAAACGCGGCATGAAACCGCAAGGAATAAAATATACTTTCGTTTCCTTAGCTTGTATAAAAGAGGATTAAAATGTTATGTTTCTTAGTATTTATGAGTACCAGTGAAGAATTTTCCCGCAAAGTGTACTAACTTCGTTTATTTTTTGCATAGAACTTATATGAAGATTTAAACGTATGAGCAAATTGTGCTGCAAAAATATAACTATACATTTATTTTTCGGATAACGAAAACAAATTGTTATGAGAAACTGCAACAGATCTTAAAAAGTAGTCAAAAAAATTTTCTATTTAGGCTAGGATATGCAAGAGTTCGGAAATTTGCCGCTTATTATCTGCAGTTTTCTCTCATTATTAACTGACAGTGAAGGCGCGGGATATGAATGACCACAGCAATAATTCACTTCTATACAAGTTATTTCAAAGAATTATCAATTACAAGTCCGGTATTTATATTTGCGTCTAATGTCACGTTAGTTAATTTATGCATCCTTTTAGAAAGAAATAATATGCATACAAATCACAAAAGCAGGACAGAATGCAAATTTTTAAGGATTTGTTAAGAGTCTAGATCTAGAATAAATTACATAGCCAGTGTTAAAGTTTCGGCATTATTCCCCCTCGTCGCTGCTGAATAGATGACACTACTCATTACAGGTAGGTCGTCATGGCTTCTAATAACGGAGGTCGATCGGGCTGGTTGAATGGGACTTTAGTTTCTCATACAGAAATGAAAACAGTTTAGTTTCTCTTAAGAAGTTCTCCATAAAGATATTCCTTGATGAATTACAACAGATATGTATATATATTATTAGATATACAGTAAAGATGGGAAGATTAAAATGCGCACGTTAATTGCTGCATATGCTCAAATATTGGACGATATTTTAAATTAAGTATAGATATGATATACTTTCTGGACGGTGCATTTATGATATAAGGGTAAATACATGATAGAATAAATGTTTAATGGCATTTGAACCCGTGAAAGTGAATATTCGTTTGTGTTTTGAAAATGAGAGATGTACGTCAGATCATTTTCAAATGCCTGGATTTTCTTTAAAATCCTTTCCAAATATTTTTGAGAGAATCGAAAGTTGAATTTCGTCTTATTTCAAAGCGTAAGTGCAAAGTGCTCAAAATGATTCCAAGTTACATTGTCATTTAATTATAGTTAATTACTTCACTTTGTAATTCCAAAAAAATAATAATAAACTTGCAAAAAAAGTATTCCAGATGGTAAATTCTTGAATTACTCTCTATACTATTCTTACGTAAGCATATGTCTCATTTATTCATAATCTTGCAATATTATTACACACGTTACGCCAAATCGTCTTGTTTATAAGTTATTGCTATGTCATTTAATAATAAACTTGTGTGCATAATTTTTATATTATTGATAAAAGCATAGATTTTTTTATTCTGAAATTCGTCTAATTATACACGACTTTTTCTTTATGCAAAAACAGATGTATAAAAATGCTTTCCCACAGTTTCTAGGCGTCGTGTTGAGGTTTATATCCTTGTATCCTCTTATCTAGAAGAACTTTACTCTTTTGGTAGTTAAAAATGTGATGATTGATAATGCAGTTAAATATAGCATCTGAAGTACTTTGTGACCGACATTCTGCGAACGGATGCTTAAGATATATCTAAAAATTTATTCGTTACACGCACCTTTTGTTTTAATGGCATTTTAATTTTAATCACTTTCCAACTCTATATAACTGTTTAAATATCTACCTGCGAATTAGTTGGAAATTTAAAGTTATTTAGTGGTAGAAGATCTTAACCGTCTGTATGCTGAAAGCATATTTCACAACATTAAAAAGCATTAATGTTGTGAAATATGGAAGACATTTGAATATGTAAAAGTACAAGATGCATTCTACGAAATATTTGGACTAATAATCATTATCATGTGAAATGCAGAGGAAAACAAACTTATGTAATTAATTTTCACGTTAAAATATTTTCCAAATACATATACGTATATAACTCGCTCTTTTAATTTCCATTTTCGATATCAAATTGTTACCAAGTAATTGTAGTTTGGCATACGAAAATTTAAAGCAGTATAAATGTGTGCTAATTTCAACCCAAACACACAAAATAATAATGAGTAATATCAAAATATTCTTATCGTTTTTGTACTTTACCTACAGCATATAATTCGCAGTTTCGATATTTTTATGCTATAGATAACTGATTCTTAAACTTTTTTCATTCATGACCGCTTTCTATCATCAAGATTTCTGCATGGCCCCAGATATTAAATTTAGAATAAAGATAAAAATAAGATTATATTCACATAAATAATTTATTTCATTGGTAAACAATATACATTTAAACAATATCTGACTTTATTCTCTACATGCTAAGTGCTGTACTTTTTGTGGCACTTTTTGATTCTGAAATAATTTATATGCTGAAATTACAATGCGACACAGCTATTTTGATAAGATTGGTGGTAATTTTTAATATGTAAACATAATTTACAGTTCAGTTTAGCCAGTATTACGATTTTATAGTTGAACAACACAGAAAATGTAGTATATTAAATAAAAAATAATAAAGGGATTACTATTAAAGCTTTTTTTTTTAATTTTACGCATCTGAATTAAATTTTCGCTACCCCTAACATTTCTCTTTTCGATCGCATTTGGGGCTATAACCCACGGTTTATGAAACGCTGATGTAGAGAAAAACTAAGTCATAAATTCAATTTTACCCAACAATATTTAAATTTCTATGTCAAAAAGGCTTTTTAAAATGCTTTATATAAATTATGACTAAATGGCTTAATTCTAATGTTTACAAACTTTGGAATAACAAATTATGTTCCAATATTGATGTTGAAAGATTTTTTTTTCACTTTTTATATGTACGGATTATTTACTTGTGCTTCTTTTTATCTTTTGCATTCTTACAGAATATTTTTTAAAGTTAAATTAACAAAAATAAAGTTTTTGAATTAACAGAAATAAAGATGTATTATTGCTTTACAATACACATTTGATGACATTTAATTTACAGTACACATTTGATCATACATCACTTTACACTTTACATACCAAGTGTTATTCGGTATAAAATTTTCCGAAGGTTGTAAGTTTTTTCTATCCTTTTTCTACCTCTAATAACTCTAAAATTGATCACTGTTGCTGAAAGCAAAATCAAATGGGAGAAATGTCTCATCATATTTCCTTTCTCGCGTTTCAGATGCTTCGTTCTCATTACTAGATTCTGCTTGAAGAGACTTTGCCATCTACGTTGAATCTTTGTTACTCAAGTTCGACCATTTATCCATGGGTAAGAAATATTTTTATTCTAAAATATAAATAAAATAGCATCTTATAATAATTATTCAATTAAATACCAACCTTAGTTGAGCAACAGTAAAATACAATATTTCAATATTGTATTGATTTTACACACTTCTTGCGATGAACCAGGAACCACTGTCTGTACTGGAAAGCGTTATCACAACGTTAGTCGCAGCGGCGCCGATCCCGGCGCAATTTTAATTTTGAAATATCTTATGTTGAAATTCCAAAGCGATGCCTTCATTATGATGCGCTTAATGGTATTTTTTAATTTGTAAATATAATGTACAGCTCAATTTTGGTCAGTATTACGACTTTATAATTGCTCTGTATGGAAAATGTAATACATTAAAGATAATGAAGAGGTTGAGACTTGTGTTTCTTTAAATTCATATATTTGAATTAAATTTTCGCGTCCCCAACATTTCGCTTTGCGACTCCATTCGAAGTCGTGACCCACAGTTCTAGATTTTGATGGAAATTTATTTTTCAAACTTTAACCAAAAATGACGCAAGTTTAGGATCATTGTTAATAAACTGCGATTTTCTTTTCTTTAATGTTATTCACAAAAATACGAAAACCTTCCTAAGGTATTTTACACGTGTTTTTATCGTTAAGGAAAGCTACAATTTCATTTCGACTGCTACAGATTATAAGAATGTTTCAGATGTAGTTCACAGAACAGCTGTAAGCAGCCTCCTAGGAAACACTCCATGAGAAAGAAACCCAAACTGACACCATTTATAATTTGTTTCCTAACTTTTTACTTTTTTAACTTCTTTTAATTAAAAAAATACATGGAGTTTTAATTACAAAATCCCGAAATGTATAAAGTCTTTCATTACGCCTCACATGTCCAATGAGGACTTCAACTTAATGATGGCGCACGGACCGACCTAACAGGTAAGATAACCCGCCCACACCGCATTTACTCACCCAACTTGCGAACAAACAACTAACTTGCGTATCCTGCATATTCTATAGCAATTAGTCCCCCCAAAAAAAGCATTGTTCTAGTTTAATGCCAATTCTAAATCGGTATACTTTGCATTAAAGATTATAATGACACTTTATGTTGCTATTATTACTAAAATTAAACAATTATGTGTGAGTATACTGTCTTTACAATTTATACACAGAGAATTCTAAAATTGTGGAAACAAAAACCAAGCATCCAAATGCCTTAAGTTATAAAACTGGAAAGTAACGTCTTTGCGTAAGATATCACTGAACAGTTTTAAGTGCTTTGATTAAAACACGTACAGTCATATGAAGATTACAAAGGCTACTAATTTTGCTTTAACGATAACAAATGGGGACTTTACTGGGAATGACGTAGTATTACTAATTTCGGAACTATCAGTAAATATTTAAGTGCCAATGTACCACGCTTAAGAGCCTCAAACGTATACATATATCATGATACCTTTATTTTTATTTCTCTAATATGGGAAAAATAATTTCGTCCTTTTCAAAGTTAAACGGAACAAACTAGTTTTCCCGTCTTCCACCCCCCCGCCCAGACCATCATTATGCGAGACATGGCACTGTCATTTTATGTTACGTACCTTTCGTAATATTTATCGCCTTTTAAAAAAGAAAGGAACAGAGAAAGGAAACTCGAAGATACTTAATAAAGTATTTAATTGCTCTAGAATTGAGCAGTTTATTCTTTTTGTGTCTAAGTCTGCAAATTATTTTACTCGATAAAATTATAAAATTTAAAAGCATTTTACACGTCCGACTAATTGTTAAACTTTCAGTCATTTGTTTTCTTTCAATTTTTCCAACCAGTCTAATAACAACTTTGAGATTTTTTTCCACGGCTTATAAAATGCACTTTAAATACTTATTAAATTTCTAAATTATCAATCCATGTAAGAAATGTTATTCTGCTTAAGTTTGAAACTAAGAGGGAAAGTATTTAGAGTTAGAGATTGTCATTTACATAAAAGAAAATTATTCATTTAGTTAAAAATATAGTATTTAATAAATTTACCCTGTGTTTTAAGGACTTTTTCTTTTTAATAAACGTACAATTAAAGAAACGGTACTCAACCCGGATGCACAGGCTTCTGAGTCCTCAGACGACTTTAAAAATTCAGAACCTATACAAAAAAAATTAAGAAATGATTTTCCGTTAATATTAATTTAATGTTACCATTGAATAAAAATTTGCTACATTTAACTATTTTCATTCACCAGTTTAATTCCAAAAATTTTAAATAATAATTTAGAGAATAACTCATGCATGTCTTATTTCATGCTTTAAGAACTCTATTTACAAGTGTGAAAATACCTGAAACTACTCCTTGTGACAACTCGTATAAAACGCTCTTATTTCATACTTTAAGGACTCTGTTTTCACGTTTGAAAAAATTAAAAACTTCTGCCTGTGATAACCCGTATAAAACGCTCTCGAACGAAAGGTATGTCCATTGCAGAATTCTTCATTAACTTACAGGTTCATCTTACACGAAAAGTAATTATCTGCTTGTCGGAAACCACACCCAGCATACTTACTGATTCTAAACAAAAATAACCTTCTCTTCGAATGAATTTATATTTTCGTTTTTACAAACATTAAAAGTTTTAGGATGAAAAGTTCTTGAAAAATCGACGATCACCTTGCTGGGAATAAAACCCTTCTTTTTAATTTAGTGTACCAAAAAGCTAACTACAATACCACAAGAACACATGCGATGGATTCATAATTCCTTACGATCCGGTTATTTCACATATTTTTGTATTCTTTCATACAAATGAGACTGTACTCCCTTTTCTAATATATTCATATTTTATTATCTTATTATAATTCTAAACACGTTTTCTTGAGAAGCCGGTAAGATTCATATCGTCTCTCAGGCTTTCCGCAGCATAACAAGATTTAAGAATTTCTGCCTTAGAACTCTCTAATCACGACAGCCATCTTCATGTAAAGGGGAAAACACATATTTAATCTGTTTTCGGGCTGTAACTTTACAACCGTAATACTCGTATTTATAGAAACGAGGAATTAAAGAAACCTGTGTCCATTTAAGTCAAACAAGAAACGTTTGGGGCTGATATTTGTAACTGCCCCATTTCGCCCGTTACTTGACGCCATCATTTATTCAGTAGATTCAAAAGCTATACCTACCTTGAGCTCATACTGAATACAAATTGCTGAATTAATTTCAGAGGCAGGCAACTTTAATGACGGATTCCAGCTTTCCCTCAGGTTAAAAACACACACAATTTACTTTCGTCCTATATCCAGGGTTAGCGAAAGAGAAAGCCTTCAAATGTTAATAAATACATTTAAATAATTAAGAATTGAAAATAATATGACATTTAATAGACCTTGGTTTTTACCCAACTGGTAATTAAAATAGATACTTATGAGCCTTTCTTTCAGTTATTTAAAATTGATTCCACAAAGTTTCCATTTCTCTCACCTCAAAACCTGCGTCGTCTCAGAAAGAATATACACTTGATTTAAATTCCTTGAGCTAAATTTGAAAGAAGGACTTTATTTTTTCAGGAAGTACGAACAGTAATATATGGGGGTAGAGTGATATTATAATAATTTGAATTTTGCTTAGATGTGATAAATATGACTTTTATACGTAGAGAAGAAATGAAAAAGGAAGAAAAAAAATTTTTTTTTCTTACTTAGCTAAATTTTATTTTGTTTTTTCTTATTTAGCTTATTTTGCTCATATTAGAAATATCTGTTTGTGCAGTTTGTATTCTTTCCTTGTTTCTTTCTGGCCCACCAGCGGCCGAGCGCTAAAGTCGCTGAACACTGGTAGTTCGGTCCGAGGTTCGAATCCCGCGAACGGGATGGCTGCATGGGTGTTTTCGTGGTTTTCCCCATGTGTAACGTGTATACGAGCCAGTTTCCCTTAGAAAGTCCTCCACGAAGGCATCCCTCCCCTTAGGCAAATAGCCCTAGTGTGCTTTGCCATAATTAAATACACCACACCTTGTTTCTTTCTAAGACGCTTTTCGACATTTTTATTTAAAAAAAGGAAGATAATAAGTTAATTAATAGTAAAAGATGTCGAATGCTATTATAGAAATTTTTCCATCCAATACATTAGAAGGAAACTACATAAAGTAACAGTATATTTATCTTATTTTTGAGAAATTAAGGCCCTAGAATGCCATTAGTTAAGCAAATTTTAACACTAAGAGAATCCAAATACCATATATAAAGAGTGTATCGTTTGACTACGATATGGCATGAATCTCAGCAGAAAACATAGTGAATAATTTCTGAACCGAATTACCTGGATACATACAGTTTTATGCAAAATCTTATAAAATGAATGGATGCTTAAAACGATTTTGCCAAAGCTGTTTACAATTTCGAGTCAGCTATTATTGGGCGACCTAGTTTATGTATATATATATAAACACTTCGATTTCGGCGTGTTACAGCATTTCAGAACTTGACTGTTCTCAGAAACTAAAAACTACGAAAAATATTCCTTTACGGGGCATCAGTATGGGCTCACTCCATGATAATGAGGAAGAAAAGACTCCTAGCTTCGATTCAACGCCCCTTTCTCTTACAAATAGCAAAAGTATACAGAACTACCTCAACGGCAGCACTCTGTGTATTAACAAGAATCCCACTCCTCCATCTGAAAGCAGAAGATGCAGACTTAGCCACGCTATTCCAACTAAAAAAAAAAAAAACATAGAGGTAGAAGATCAAGACCTGAGCTCCTTGATTTCGAACAGCCTCGAAACTCTTACCTAAGACACCCTGCAGTGGAGACAAAACTCAGAATATCAACAAAAGAAAAAAAACCCTAACTGTACCTACATTTCCAGTAGTTTACACAAATGGGTCAAAGATAAACGACGAAGTAGGATGCGCGTTCATAGCACTCCTCTCAGAATAAGAAACAATAGAATAGAAGACACACCTAAGAAACAACAACAGCGTTTCCCAAGCTTGAGCTTTCTGCCATAAAACACGCTATTCTACGGGC